ATACATTTCGTATAGGTATGTGTACAAATAAATTTTTCTTTGTCTTAAAAGTTAATTAATTTTCTTGGTTTCCGCTCTCGATTTCTTAGTTATAAAATCCTTTAATTTCTCTGTTTCGCTATGATTCTCTTCTTAGTTAAATAAACTTCCTGATAGAATTATATTTCTTTCCTCTGCTTTAAAATAACTACGCAAAAAAAAATTGATTGGTACTTTCCGTGACTCACCCAACTCGTAGCAGCATGCCTTGGAAGGGGGCGATGCTGTTGTTGAAGTTGCTTCGGTTATAGCGCTGGAGTGATTGTTATTGTTGTTGTCTCGCGTTCCACCCGCGCTGTGGCGGTTGTTGTTGCTTGTGCGCGTTGCACCCGCTACTGAGGCGGTTGTTGTTGTAGTCGCGCGTTGTTGTTGCTGTAGTAGCGCGTGTTGTATTTCCTTCGTCGCGCGTATTGCACCCGCGGCTGTGGCGGTTGTTGCTGCTGTAGTCGCGCGTTGTTGTTGCTATAGTAGCGCGTGTTGTATTTCCGTCGTCGCGCGTATTGCACCCGCGGCTGTGGCGGTTGTTGCTGCTGTAGTCGCGCGTTGTTGTTGTTATCGCGCGTCGTTGACGTCGTTACAATAGCCGCTGCTATGGCGGCGTTGTTGTCGCTCCTGTGGTGACCGCTGCTGTGGCGGTTGTTGTTGCTTGCGCGCGTTCTAGCCGCTACTGAGGCGGTTGTTGTTGTAGTCCCGCGTTGTTGTTGCTGTAGTCGCGCGTTGTTGTTGCTATCGCGCGTCGTTGACGTCGTTGACGTCGTCGCAATAGCCGCTGCTATGGCGGCGTTGTTGTCGCTCCTGTGGTGACCGCTGCTGTGGCGGTTGTTGTTGCTTGCGCGCGTTGTAGCCGCTACTGAGGCGGTTGTTGTTGTAGTCGCGCGTTGTAGCCGCTACAGAGGCGGTTGTTGCGTAGTCGAGCGTTTTGCCCCCGCGGCTGTGCCGGTTGTTGGTGACTATTTTTGCCTCGCTGTGCCGCTGTTATAGTGACTGCTTCTGTGGCCGCCGTTGTTGTTGTTGCGGTGGCAGTCCCACTTAAGAGCAGACCAGAGCAGCTATAGCAGAAATAAAAACAGTTAGAGAAAGGAACAATTCTAATGGAATACAGTTTTGCTATATGTCTAACCCCATGATATAAAAATAGAAGGCAGTTTCATTTATTGACATTCGTTGTTATTGCCGACCACTTGACTCTTTACCAGTTTGTGGCATTTAACAAAAATCATGCTCCCAGATTCACTAGTGGGAAAATTTTTATTTTTTTAAAAGAGTAAAAAAAAATTTAAGTTAGTGAAGTTGGATCAAAATATTAAAAGAAAATTCTTGCGCGTTTCCAAACTGCAAAAATTCGGTACATTCGGTAATGCCCTGCAACTTGTAACAGTGCTAATTTTTGGAGTTCTCGGAATTTTCACACCGCTTCCTTTTTTTCCTGATTTGGGCTAGCAACGCGTTCA